AGTTGTAACTATTTCTCTATGAAAAGGATCAGGGATGTGTGGTTTAAGAAGAGAGACATGGAATACTGGATGAAGTTTAAAACTTGGAGGAAGTTTTAATTTAACAACGTTATCATTGATAATTGTAATTATTTGAAAAGGACCAAGAAAAAGAGAGCTCAATTTCTTTGAAGGACGGTTTGTGGTAATATTTTTTGAAGAGAGCCAGACAAGATCCCCTACTTTGTAAGGAGGGGGAATTCTTCTTTTATTGTCAAAAAACTTTTTCTGGTAGTTTTGAGCGAGTTGAAGATTCTCCCGTAATTTGAGGAATAGAGAGGACATAAATTCATTTTTTGATGTAACCGTAGGATTGGATGAAGTAATAGTTTGGATGGGAAATGAGGACGGATGAAAACCATAGTTGGAGAAGAAAGGAGTCATTTTCGTACTAGAATGAATGGTATTGTTGTAAGAAAATTCAGCCATAGGTAACCATGTGGTCCAGTCATCTTGCAGGTATGAACAATAACATCGGAGATATTGTTCCAAACATTGATTAACTCTCTCTGTTTGCCCATTAGTTTGGGGATGATAGGCGGAAGAGAGTTTGCGTTGAATTTGAAGAGAGAGACACATCTCCTTCCAGAATTTGGAGGTAAATTGTGTCCCCCTATCAGAAATAATTTCTTCTGGAAGACCATGGAGTTTTATAATATTATCAATAAAGACTTTGGACAATTCTACGGAGGAGGGTCATTTTTTTAAAGAGATGAAATGGGACATTTTTGTGAAGCAGTCCACAACAACAAGAATAGTGGTGAAATGTCGAGATGGTGGAAGGTCAACGAGAAAATCCATAGAAATGGATTGCCAAGGTTTTTCTGGAATGGGTAAGTTAAGTAGTAATCCGAAAGGTTGATTATGTTCAGATTTGGACCTTTGACAGATAGGACAAGTTTTGACATATAATTCAATGGTTTTATCTTGGCGAGGCCACCAATAATATCGTGAAGTTAGTTCAAGAGTTTTCTTTATTCCAGGATGTCCAGCTAGGGGTGAATCATGAACCATCTTAAGTAATTTGTTCCTAAGAATGGGAGGAATATAAATTCTATTTTTAAAGTAAAATATACCATCCTGTTTTGTCAAATTAGGCGTTTTGGGAAGTTCAAGATCCTTGTGATTCAAATTCTTTATGTCATCCTGAAGAGAAGAGAGGATCCCTATTATTTTGTTAGGGGGATAAACATCAATAGTAGTTTTAGAAGGAATTCGAGAAAGAGCGTCAGCCTTTTTATTCCTAGTTCCAGGTCTGTATATTAATTGGAAGTTAAATCGGTTAAAAATAGGTTCCATCTAACTTGTCTAGCCGTAAGGGTTTTGTTAGTATAGAGATATTCAAGATTTTTATGGTCTGTATAAACTATTATAGGTTGTTTTGTATCTTCTAGAAGATGACGCCAATTTTCGAAGGCAGCTTTAACACTTAATAATTCTTTTTCACCAATAGGATAATTTTTTTTCAGCAGAGCTCAAGGATCTTGAGAAGAAGGCAACTGGATGAAGTGGATCTTGAGGAGTCTTTTGTTGAGAAAGAACTGCTCCGATAGCTGTATCTGATGCATCGACTTCAAGGACATATAAGAATGTTGGATTAGGTAGTTGTAGAATAGGTGCAGTTGTAAATCTTTTTTTTAATCTGTCAAAGGCAGCCGGGGAGGTCGAGGGTCTGATGAATCCTTTACGTAAATTTTCATTAAGATATTCTTTTAAGGTCTGCAATTCCTTTTCAGAAAGTGGATAAATGTGACCATAAGGAATAGGAGCACCGGGTATTAGATCTATTGGGCAATCATATACTCGATGAGGTGGGAGTGTTTCCGCTTCTTTTTTACAAAAGACATCTGCAAAATCAGAGTAGAATGGAGGTATGACTGATTCTTGAGTAGTTTGGAGAATAGGAATATGTTGTAAGCAGGTTTTTTTACAAAAATCAGAAGAAAAGGAAATGGAGATGGGTGACCATTTAATTAGAGGATCATGGGTTTTTAACCAATTAATTCCTAAAATGACAGGATAAAGTGGAGATTTAATAACATCAAATGTAAGAAATTCGGTATGTACGTTGTTGGTAATCATTCTTAGAGGAATTGTCTCATCTTTTATGGGTCCTGAGGATATAAATGAACCATCAATAACTCTGATTGGAACAAAGTTGGTTTTTCAAACACAAGGAATTTTATTCTTTGTAACAAAAGAAAAATCAAGGAAGGTTCCATTAGCACCAGAATCAATAATGGCTTCAGTCACGATTCTTTTTGTATCCCACTGTAATATGAGAGATATAGAAAAATAAGTAGATGTTTTTCTTTTTTGAAGAACGTTCAATATAGAGGAAGATGAATGAAGCTTACCAGCTTTTGAATGTTTAAGTAGAGGACATTCTGGAATTAGATGTTCTTTTGAAGCACAATACATACACAGGTTTAGTTGTCTCCTTCTTATTCTTTCTTCAGAAGTAAGAGGACTTCTTATTATACCAACTTCCATAGGTTCATTTTGAGGAAGAAATTTTTCAGGAATTTTTGGAGAAGTAAAATGTTTTCTCCAGTTAGAAGTAGTGTGAACTTTTTCAGCCCTTCTTTCTCTTAGACGTCTGTCAATACTAATGGAAAGTTGAATCAATGCATTTAGGGTGGGAGGAAGTTCAGTACGAGAGAGTTCATCTTTCACAGCTTCTGATAATCCGAGACGGAATTGATTGCGTAGAGTGATGTCATTCCATTGGGTTTCTGTAGCCCATCTTTTAAATTCTGCAATATAATCTTCAACAGGTCTGTTCTTTTGGTGGAGAGTTCTGATGTTTAAATCAGCAGTAGCCTGTTTATAAGGATCTTCATATAATAAAGACATAGCTTCAAAGAATTCATCCAATGAATCTAATATGGGATCATCATTCTCTAAAAAGGAATGAGCCCATGCCATAGGTTCACCTCTTAAAAAAGAAATTACTGAACAAACTTTTGATCTTTCAGTGAGATAAGATCTAGGTTTTAAAGCTATCAGAAGTTTGCAAGAATTCAAAAACTCTCTGTACTTTGTTCTATCTCCATAAAATTTTTCTGGATTACAGACAGCAGGATCACCAGCCGATTGAAGAGCGGCATGAGGAAGATGGCCTTGCATGTCTCTAACATAGGTTAATATTCTCTCATTAGTGATTTGCAGTTCCTGTAACCCTTGAGCAATAGTATCCACTCTATTGGTTAGGGCAGAAACTTGTGAGTTAATATCTGCTGGTTCCATTGAAATAGGCTGGATTATTCTGTGATACTTATTTGTAATACTTCTTTAATTGGAACTCAACTGCAGAAACAATAAGTTTCACCTCCTTTTATATTGAAGTGAACAAGGTTGACTGTATCTTTAAATACACATGCAGGGAAGAAATGCAATGCTAGTTCCAACTTAATTAAGATGGAATGATTTATGAAAATTATGTTAATGAAGCAGGACAGGCTTGCAATTAGAATAAATTGATATTTGCAGGAAGAATTAGACTTAGTAGCAATCCCTTATTGACAAGAGAGAATTTTAGTGAAATTTAAATACTGTATAAATTAATTAATATGAATTGGTTTCCTTGGCAAAAAGGTTTACTTAACTTAGAGGCAGTTCTGGCAATGGAAGGGTTAATTCACCCAATGGAGGAGAAATTAGGAGTCTCTATTAATAAGCTGAGCGTTAGGAGTGGAGAGTAAGGAAGTCCGTTTTTACTAGCCGAGGTCTGGGAGTGGAGAAGGTAGAAGTCCGTTTTTACTAGCCGAGGTCTGGGAGTGGAGAAGGTAGAAGTCCGTTTTACAAGCCGAGGTCGAGAGGTGGAGAAGGTAGAAATCTGTTTACAAGCCGAGGTCCGGAGAGGAGTGGAGCCGGTAGCATCAAGTAGAGCAGCTGATCTCAATGCAGCACCTGAGTGAATAATCCAGCCCTTTGAATCTGGCGCGGTCTTCCTAAGTATCGTGGAAGCACCGCGTCAGAAAAAGGGGCGGGGCTAAGCGCCGTGAACCCGGAAGTGGGTTCCGGCGGCAGCATGAATGTTAGAGTATACCTGACAGTACCCCCTTCTCATGGGGCATCCTCTGGGTGCACTTATTTCGGTTTAGAGGGATAGCGTTTGTGAAAAGCATCAACTAATCTCTTTGCATGAACATTAGATGAATCTTCCCAGGTATCTTCATCAACTCCATAACCTTTCCATCTGATAAGGTATTGTAAAGAGCCACGGTGGATACGAGAATCCAAAATCTTATGAATTTCATATTCTTCTTCACCTTGGACGATGATAGGTTCAGGAGTTGTTACTAATTCTCTATGGAAAGGATCAGGAATGTGTGGTTTAAGCAAGGAGACATGGAATACGGGATGAAGTTTAAAACTTGGAGGAAGTTTTAATTTAACAACGTTATCATTGATAATTGTAGTTATTTGAAAAGGACCAAGAAAAAGAGAGCTCAATTTCTTTGAAGGACGGTTTGTGGTAATATTTTTTGAAGAGAGCCAGACAAGATCCCCTACTTTGTAAGGAGGGGGAATTCTTCTTCTATTGTCAAAAAACTTTTTCTGGTAGTTTTGAACGAGTTGAAGATTCTCCCGTAATTTGAGGAATAGAGAGGACATAAATTCATTTTTTTGATGTAACCGTAGGATTGGATGAAGTAATAGTTTGGATGGGAAATGAGGATGGATGAAAACCATAGTTGGAGAAGAAAGGAGTCATTTTCGTACTAGAATGAATGGTATTGTTGTAAGAAAATTCAGCCATAGGTAACCATGTGGTCCAGTCATCTTGCAGGTATGAACAATAACATCGGAGATATTGTTCCAGACATTGATTAACTCTCTCTGTTTGCCCATTAGTTTGGGGATGATAGGCGGAAGAGAGTTTGCGTTGAATTTGAAGAGAGAGACACATCTCCTTCCAGAATTTGGAGGTAAATTGTGTCCCCCTATCAGAAATAATTTCTTCTGGAAGACCATGAAGCTTTACAATATTATCAATAAAGACTTTGGACAATTCTACGGAGGAGGGTAATTTTTTTAAAGAGATGAAATGGGACATTTTAGTGAAGCGGTCCACAACAACAAGAATAGTGGTAAACTGTCGGGATGGAGGAAGGTCAACAAGAAAATCCATAGAAATGGATTGCCAAGGTTTTTCTGGAATAGGTAAGTTAAGTAGTAATCCAAAAGGTTGATTATGTTCAGATTTGGACCTTTGACAGATAGGACAAGTTTTGACATATAATTCAATGGTTCTATCTTGGCGAGGCCACCAATAATATCTTGAAGTTAGTTCAAGAGTTTTCTTTATTCCAGGATGTCCAGCTAGGGGTGAATCATGAACCATTTTGAGTAATTTGTTCCTGAGAATGGGAGGAATATAAATTCTATTTTTAAAGTAAAATATACCATCCTTTTTTGTTAAATTAGGTGTTTTGGGAAGTTCAAGATCCTTTTGATTCAAGTTCCTTAAGTCATCCTGAAGAGAAGAGAGGATCCCTATTATTTTGTTAGGAGGATAAACATCAATAGAAGTTTTAGAAGGAACTCGAGAAAGAGCGTCAGCCTTTTTATTTCTAGTTCCAGGTCTGTATATTAACTGGAAGTTAAACCGGTTAAAAAATAGGTTCCATCTAACTTGTCTAGCCGTAAGGGTTTTATTAGTATAAAGATATTCAAGATTTTTATGGTCTGTATAGACTATGATAGGTTGTTTTGTATCTTCTAATAGATGGCGCCAATTTTCAAAGGCAGCTTTAACACTTAATAATTCCTTTTCACCAATAGGATAATTTTTCTCAGCAGAGCTCAAGGATCTTGAAAAGAATGCGACTGGATGAAGTGGATCTTGAGGAGTCTTTTGCTGAGAAAGAACTGCTCCGATAGCTGAATCTGATGCATCGACTTCTAGGACATACAAGAATGTTGGATTAGGTAGCTGTAGAATAGGTGCAGTTGTGAATCTTTTTTTTAAACTGTCGAAGGCAGCTTGTGCATCTTTATTCCATTTGAAAGGACGTTTAGTACTGTTAAGGTGGTTAAGTGGATGTGATACCTCTGAGTAGTTTCTAATGAATTTTCTATAGAAGTTTGCAAATCCAAGAAATCGTTGCAATTCTTTTGTAGTAGTAGGAACGGGCCAGTTAATAATACATTCGATTTTAGAGTTATCCATTTTCAGAGAATGAGGTGAAATAATGTATCCAAGAAAGGAGAGTTCAGTAACTTCAAAAAGACATTTCTCTGGTTTAGCGTATAATTTGTGGGTTCTCAATCTAGATAGAACCCATCTTACATGCTTCCTATGTTCATCCAAATTGTTAGAATATATTAGAATATCATCTAAGTAGATAATAACACAACCATCCAAAAGATCTCTAAAGATATCATTTATAAAATGTTGGAATGTTGCAGGGGCATTACAAAGCCCAAAAGGCATCACTAGATATTCGTAGAGACCATATCTAGTCCGGAAGGCGGTCTTCCATTCATCATCCTGTTTTATTCTAATGAGGTTATATGTGCCTCGGAGGTCGAGTTTAGTGAATATAGTTGCAGTTCTTAGCCTTTCAATTAATTCATTTATTAGTGGAAGAGGATAACGATTTTTTATGGTTATTTTATTTAAGGCTCTGTAATCTATAATGGGTCGGATGGTTTGGTCCTTATTCCTCACAAAAAATACACTAGAGGCAGCCGGTGAAGTCGAGGGTCTGATGAATCCTTTACGTAAATTTTCATTAAGATATTCTTTTAAGGTCTGCAATTCCTTTTCAGAAAGTGGATAAATGTGTCCATAAGGAATGGGAGCACCAGGTATTAGATCTATTGGGCAATCATATGCTCGATGAGGTGGAAGTGTTTCCGCTTCTTTTTTACAAAAGACATCTGAAAAGTCAGAGTAGAATGGAGGTATAATTGATTCCTGAGTAGTTTGGAGAATAGGAATATGTTGGAAGCAGGTTTTTTTGCAAAAGTCAGAAGGAAAAGAAATGGAAAAGGGTGACCATTTAATTAAAGGATCATGAGTTTTTAACCAATTAATTCCTAGAATGACGGGATAAAGTGGAGATTTAATAACATCAAATGTAAGGAATTCTGTATGTACGTTATTGGTAATCATTCTTAGAGGAATTGTCTCATCTTTTATGGGTCCTGAGGATATAAATGAACCATCAATAACTCTGATTGGAATAAAATTGGTTTTTCGAACACACGGAATTTTATTCTTTGCAACAAAAGAAAAATCAAGGAAGGTTCCATTAGCACCAGAATCAATAATGGCTTCAGTCACGATTCTTTTTGTATCCCACTGTAATATGAGAGATATAGAAAAATAAGTAGATGTTTTCCTTTTTTGAAGAACGTTCAATATAGAAGTAGATGAATGAAGTTTACCAGCTTTCGAATGGATTAGTAGGGGACATTCTGGGATTAGATGTTCTTTTGAAGCACAATACATGCACAAATTTAGTTGTCTCCTTCTTATCCTTTCTTCCGAAGTAAGAGGGCTTCTTATTATACCAACTTCCATAGGTTCATTGTGAGGAAGAGATTTTTCAGGAATTTTTGGAGTAGTAAAATGTTTTCTCCAGTTAGAAGTAGTAAGAACTTTTTCAGCCCTTCTTTCTCTTAGATGTCTGTCAATACTAATGGAAAGTTGAATCAATGCATTTAAGGTGGGAGGAAGTTCAATACGAGAGAGTTCATCTTTCACAGCTTCTGATAATCCGAGACGGTATTGATTGCGTAGTGTAATGTCATTCCATTGGGTTTCTGTAGCCCATCTTTTAAATTCGGCAATGTAATCTTCAACAGGTCTGTTCTTTTGGTGGAGAGTTCTGATGGTTAAATCAGCAGTAGCCTGTTTATATGGATCTTCATATAATAAAGACATAGCTTCAAAAAATTCATCCAATGAATCTAGTATGGGATCATCATTCTCTAAAAAGGAATGGGCCCATGCCATAGGTTCACCTCTTAAAAAAGAAATTACTGAACAAACTTTTGATCTTTCAGTGAGATAAGATCTAGGTTTTAAAGCTATCAGAAGTTTGCAAGAATTCAAAAACTCTCTGTACTTTGTTCTATCTCCATAAAATTTTTCTGGATTACAGACAGCAGTATCACCAGCCGATTGAAGAGCGGCATGAGGAAGATGGCCTTGCATGTCTCTAACATAGGTTAATATTCTCTCATTCGTGATTTGCAGTTCCTGTAACCCTTGAGCAATCGTATCCACTCTATTGGTTAGGGCAGAAACTTGTGAGTTAATATCTGCTGGTTCCATTGAAATAGGATTATTCTGTGATGCTTTTGTGTAATACCTCTTTAATTGGAACTCAACTGCAGAATTTTAATAATGAAGTTTTAGCCTTAGCAGCAATCCTTATTTGTCAACAGAGAGTTTAAAGAAATTAAATACTATAATTAATTGATATGCCTTGCTTTCCTTGACAAAAGATTTACTTAACTTAGAAGCACTCTGGCACTGGAAGGGTTAACTCACCCAATGGAGGAAGAGGAAGGAGTCTCTTTTAACAAACTGCAGTTTAGTAGTGAGAGAAAGGAAGTCCGTTTATCCAAGCCGAGGTCTGAGAGAGGAGAAGGTAGAAATCCGTTTACAAGCCGAGGTCTGGGAGAGGAGAAGGTAGAAATCCGTTTATAAGCCGAGGTCTGAGAGAGGAGAAGGTAGAAATCCGTTTACAAGCCGAGGTCTGGGAGAGGAGAAGGTAGAAATCCGTTTATAAGCCGAGGTCTGAGAGATGAGAAGGTAGAAATCCGTTTACAAGCCGAGGTCTGAGAAGTGGAGCCGGTAGCATCGAGTAGAGCAGCTGATCTCACTGCCGCACCTGAGTGAATAATCCAGCACTTTGAATCTGGCGCGGTCTTCCTAAGTATTGTGGAAAGACCGCGTCAGAAAAAAGGGGCGGAGCTAAGCGCCGTGAACCCGGAAGTGGGTTCCGGCGGCATCATGAATGTTAGGTATACCTGACAGATGCAAAGGTCACTAGATGACCTAGACAACAGGGGACGGAGAAATAACCTCCGCATAAGGGGGCTTCTGGAGACAGATAACGAAAATCTGCACGTCCAATTAACCATCCTCTTTAACTCCATACTGAGCCGTCCGCCTGACACACAGATACTCCTGAACAGAGTGCACAGATCCCTACGGCCAAAGAATGGGGTAGGTGAAACACCACGAGACATAATATGTTGCATTCATTACTTTACACTCAAGGAAGACATCCTGAAAACTCTAAGGGATACTTCCGCCCCACTGCTATACCTTGGCCAAGAAATCCAAATATACCCAGACCTGTCATGGCTCACCCTACAGGCGAGAAGAACCTTAAAACCTGTCACAGACCAGCTTAGAATTCGCAATATAAAATACAGATGGGGCTTTCCATTCGCCCTCACAGTCAACGCTAGCGGATCTGCGTTCACAATCGCAACACATCAGGATGTAGCCCCATTTATAAGGGCACTGAACATGTGAAACCCACGTTATGGACTGGTACTCGCCAGACCCAGCGGCCTCCCACAATAAACAGCCATGTGACATGCGAAGGCAATCACAAGCAAAAAACAGAGAACCGGACAAGTCAGTCCCCAGCAACTAAGAGAGAGAAGACCTAGAGGAGCCATAGACGACTAACTCATATGAACATAGGACGCCCAGATGGATCGGCAAGCCTCACATCAACACAGGAAGATTACCATCCCAGGATGACAACACCTGCGTACGGAACCGCACGGAGAAAGGGAGAACTCAATTTCCTCTATCCACTCACAGCGACTCCCGACGTAATGGACTTATTGGGACTTAATGATAAACCTAGGCAGGACTTGCGAACTTTTGCCGCAACCTAAAGCGACAAATATAACATCCAAGATACCCTGCTGGACTCTCAGAATCAGGTCGTATGTTTAACAATGTGTTTAAAAATATGTACTTATAACCCACATTTACACATAGCAGGACTACCCGGTAGAGTAGTACCAGCTCCAACCTCAGACTGCGATACACATGTAGGGAAACTGTTGAGACAACCCACACCAAGGTAAAGAAAAAAAAAAAACGTATGTCGTCTCTTGGGATAACACTTCCAAATACTTAGGCCACCATCTGGGACAACGGTCAAGACGCTCGTCCCTCATCAGCTCCGCTGCACATCCCCATACATTAAAACACAACGCCAAAACTCCACTACACTAGTATAAGCTTACAAGTTTTCAGCCCCAAAGCTTACAGTGTACACCACAACAAATATCTAAACATCACAACGAATCAAGTACCACTCTTAAATATCGTACTTACCAAGGATGATAGGAAATACAACCGTCACCTTGGTGAACATCTATCTCCCTAATAGGAAGCAGACCCCTGCCCTACGCAAAATACTGTACAAGCTCGACACCTTTAAGGAGGGCCTGTTGATCGTAGGAGGCGACTTCAACATCTCCCTAGACGGGACACTAGACACCACCTCCCAGGCTCAAACATATCAAGCCTCATCTGCGGGTTCACCGCAAAATATTACAAAACTTTTGCGAAGACACTCACACCCCATTTTGTAAACGCATTCAACTCGCTGCTACACTCAGACAAGCTTCCACCCCAGGCACTATTAGACTCGCACCAATTATATGACAGCTGGCGAATCACTAACCCTGCAAAACGCGACTACTCATACTACTCCCACTCATCAGGCACTTACTCCAGAATTGACATGTTTCTCATCCCTCATCGGTTCTTAAACCTAGTCCAAACGTGCGAGTAAGCCACAATTACCTGGTCTGATCATGCCCCGATATCAATGACCATCGCCAT